GGCACTGAAGGAAGACACCCCCCACCGCCTACACTTCCTCCCCCAACACAACCCCCACACCCATTCCCACACCCAACAGAGGTCAACGACGACGATCGACATTTCATGCTGAGCTTCGTGCCTGCACTGAAGAGGCTCAGCATTTTTGTGTTTCTCGGAAAGAGGAACTTTGGAAAGACTTTGGTCGCCTGCCATGGCAGGACAATGTTGTGTTCAGTTCAAATGTGGTGAAGAACTAGTCTGACCAAATAAGAAGAAATGACACAAACAATTATTACTCACAGTCTGTGTGAAATGTCCTTGTGATACCTTAAAGACTCACTGTGTGCACTAAATCGTTTCCATGTGGTCTAATAAAGATTTGAATGTTTTACCACTTGACAAAATAAATTTATTGTGTTTAATAAAAAGTTTTTCAAGTTTAAACAGACATAAATGCTACAGTTACTATCTGTAGACATTAAAGACTTTGCTTCTTTCTTCCTTAAAGACCTATGACCTTTATTATTTGTAGAAATTATGACATAAAACCTTTTGGTTTGTGATCTTTGACAGTCACTTAAAACTTCTGTTTTCATAGAAAGACCCCCTGAAAATCAAACCATCCTCTATTCATAATTCAGAGGTGTAAAGGAGACAAGAAATAAGTCAATATATACAACTCTTTATCCGCAACAATATCCACGGGTACACAGTACTCTGTCCAGCAATTACAGTCGTACAGAAAAAGCAAAGTATAAAATCCTGAAGTACAACTCCTTCGTACACGGTACAAAATCTTGAACTACAACTACTCGGCCTTGCAGTCTTCATCTATGACCACTGGGGCCTCCGGTGTAGAGAGAGGCTGGTCACTGGGCCCCATATTGGATGTCTGCCTAAATCCATGAGAGCTGAGCATCTTTATAAAGCTGTATGTCCAGGGAGGCAGGCTGCTACCGTCCGCTGACTGTGGGTATGGAGGCTGGGATGTCTGAAACACAAAGCAATATCAAATATGACATGAGGCAAAAATTGATTTCACATGACGCACTTAATCTTGTTTTAACATCTTCTATCTGACAGGCAGTAAACAATATTTGTGACCTACAATCTGATTGAAAGTAAACAACATTTGTAATTACCTGGGGACTATCTGTTGCTGGTGGGCAGTGACGGCTGGGAGGGATCGGCACATCCTGTTGCTGCCACTGCTGGTGCTGCTGCCACTGCCAAGCTGGTCTCTGGCGTGGAGGGATGTGTGAGGGCTGCTGCTGCTGCTGCTGCTGCGGGGGGATGAACTCGACATCAGGCGTCCGGGCAGAANGATCTTTTAAAATGCTCTTTCACAAACCTCTGAGGCACCTCATTCATCAATAAAACTCACAATGAAACGTGGACGTCAAACCTACCGCGTGTGCCCGTGTCTTGATTCATTTCCCATTTATTGCAGAAACGTGGCGCTGCAACTCCGTGGAAGAGCTCCTGCTCCCTGTGCAGACATGAAGACCTCATTCTGAGCCAACATGATTCGTAGCTACAGGTGATTACACGCTAATAAAAGTCTAATTACAAATGCTGGATTGCGTTTCTGCTTAATAGATGCCTCTAAATCCTACACAGCGGCTCTTTGAATCACAATTCTAATTATGTAGCTTCATAGAGAATCATTTAGGAGCAGAAGTGTTTTTTATCTAGCAATAATGTTTTTAATAAAACACATGAATTGAATGTAATAGTTGTACTAATAGTGTTCAAAGCAAATATTCCAAAAGCTATTTGCAATTAGCTTAGCTTACAGGATTGATTTCTTACTTTATATTGAACATCTTTGACTTTGTCCAACTTGTAACGTCTCCACTGACCCTATTTATAGTGAAGTTATCGCAGACGAGCTTCACAATGATTCTGAGCAAACGTCGACTTGTTTTTCCTGCGAATAAATTCAGACGCACGAACGTAACAGCAGCCGCGCTCAGCGTTCTGTTTCCACAACATCAGTTAACAAGATTAAAGGTATCTGAAGATCAAACGCCGTGGCGTTAAACAGAGGAAGACGATTACATTCAGACACGCTGTCCCATGTTCTGTTTCTCAGGAACAGTTTTAATGTATCTGCTAAAAGATGTCACAGCGGTTCTATAAAGTCCTCCGATCTTCAGGGACCCCTTTTGTTTTCACAACTGATCTCAACAAATGAATCCATCAGCTCCGCCTGTATAAAGACTTCACACCAGCGCGCTCTTCTTTTGTCTTCCTCCACGTTTCCCTGAGCTCCTACCACTGCTTCGGCTGCTGCACCTCCGTTTCTTTGTTTCTTCTCCTGGGTCGAAATCAGAGTCGACGCTATTCTTTGCTTTTCTTTTTGAGCTTCTGGTGTTCTTCCTCGCCGTCTCCGCCTCCTCGTCTTCCGCGGAGCCAAAGGGTAAGTCGCTGTCTGATTGCACATCCTCGCTTTCCTCGTCGCTGGAACCTGTTTTCTTTAATTTCTGAACCTTTGATTTTGACGTTTTAGTGTTTGAAGTGTGGCTTCTCGCTTCCCCTGCCAGATCCAAGTCACCTTCTGCGTTTCTCTTAGGCCTTCCTACAGGCCTTCCTGTGCTCCTCCTTTTATTTTTTGGCTTACATGCTCCTTTTTTCTGCGCCTCCTCTTCTGCTTCTTGTTCTCCCTCTACATTGTCAGAGTCTGTGTCTCTCTTATTCCCATTGTCTTCTGCGTCACTGCTGTGGTTCGCCCTTTCATCCACCTTACCCTTCCTCCGCTCGCGTCCGGAGCTCGACGTGTGGTACCGCCGGATGTGACTCTTCAAGCTCACGTTGTGGTTGAAGGACTTGTCGCAGTGCTGACACTGGTAAGGCCTCTCCCCCGTGTGCAGCCGCATGTGCGACTTCAGGTGGCTCGACTGGCTGAATCCACGCTGGCACACCGAGCACTTGTACGGCTTGAGTCCTGTGTGCACGACGGAGTGCCTCTGAAGATGATGCACATCCTTAAATTCAATCGCGCAAACTCCACATTTGAACACCGTCGGGGCTCTGTGGCTCGCCAGGTGGGCTCTGCGTTTCTTATTGGTGGAAAACGTCGCTGGACAGTCCGGACATTTATATGGGTCTCTTCTATCCTGGTGGGTCTGCTCGTGTTTGAGCTTGTCCACCCGGGTTTTGAAGGTAACGTAGCAGAATTTGCAAGGATGCTCGTAGGTTTCATCGTGAATTTTGCCGTGCTTCTCCAGAGACAACTCGGTCGTGCACCTTTTGCCACAGACGTTGCAGGAGTAGGGCTTTATTTTGTGCTCACACGTGTGAGACTTCACAATATTGAAAAAACTCCCACACTCGGTGCAGAGCTCGTTAATTTTCAGGCCACTCACGGAATCGAAGTTCTCGTCTTCGGTTTCATCCTCAGAGTCTCTCATGAGCTCCTCGTCGGGTGCAAAATCCTCCTCTGGATTCCACTCCGCGTCGGAAGCCTCCTCACGTTCGTCGTCCTCCTCATCTGAAGGGTCGCTTTCTTCATCAGGAAAAGAAACGTCGGACAATACCGCGCCACCGGGGTCGTCGTCTGTCGGCACCTCCTGCATCAAAATATGAGTGTGAGCAGAATGTTTCTAAGGTTACACAGCTCTGAATATTAAAGTCAAATTACTGAAAAATGAGAGTGCAAGCAGAGGACACAGGATCATTTATAGTTCTGAGAGGGGACAGAGAGGCAAGCCTCAATTTGAGAGAAAATTCATCTTTTTCTGAGTCATAACTCACTTTCTGAGGAAATCCTGTCCATAAGAAACTA